GATTAGTGCAACCAAAAACTAAACTGAAATTTGGTGAAAGGAGTTTTTCGGCATCAGCTCCTAAGCTATGGAATTCACTACCAAGTCATCTAAAAAACTGTAACACAGTAGAAAGTTTCAAAAAACATCTTAAAACACACTACTTCAATTTAGCTTATGGAAAATAATCAGTGACTGTTATGAATGAATTTTATAAACAGTGAATACGAAGTATCTGTTATTTGAATATTAGTTTTATTAAAAAGTTTTATTTTATTTTTTTTAAACAAACAATTTTTAAATCAATTTAGTATTTCTATTGTTTTATATTGATGATTTAGCAAGATCTTATCTATTATTATATATTGAAGACAATTTTAATGTATGACAATAATATTGTAAAGTGAGTTTTAAGGATCTTTAAGTTATATTGTATTAATATGTAAAAATAATTCCATAATTTATACTTTTAATTAGTTAATGCAAAATATTTTTAATGTTCATAATCCTGTTCATTTATATTGTTTTAGACATATATGATTGATGTAAAGCGCCTTTGAACATTTTAATGAAAAGGGCGCTATATAAATGTGGTATTTATATTATTATTATTATTATGAAAAATCGACCGGAATTAGAATTTTCTCGCGCATGCGCAATCTGCGTAGGGCAGAAAATTCTTCGCCCTACATAGAAATATAGTAATTTTAAGTTCATCGACAATACCGAGTTAGTTCAAGGTAAACGGTAGAAAATTATATGAAATAGCTTTTAACAAATATAGAAAAGATGTCTTTAGCTTTGAGGCGAAAAATGTCATAAAAAGGCATGGAAAAGATACTTGTTTAAGAATTTACGATCACGGACCTGACACTAGCTGAGATCATTTTTTTTTTAAAGAAGATGTGTAAATTAATGTATCTATTAGCAAATGAAAAGTCAACTTATTTGCTGTTGAAATAGTTCATATAAAAACAAAAGAAATTTTAAAACATGAAATCGAGATTAATTATAATTCTGAAAAAATATCAGAACAGGTGATAATGCATTTTTCAATATGTTCAATATATACCTGATTATATATATCCTTTATCCGATTTGCCTGTGATGCAAACAGAAAAAAAATAAGTCACATAAATAGATTTTAAATAATTAATTATTTTTTTCAAAATCTTGAGAAGTTAAGATGGGTTGTTTGGAAGGGATATAACACACATTTTATCCGCTTCTTCGTAATACCACCGATTTATATTACATAATATAAATCCGTGGTAATACATGATATTTTTAATAATGCACGTCACACAATTTTTCCCTTCTCAAAATCCATAAACATTGATCGGTATATTTAAAAGTTACATAAATTACCATTTTAATAAGCGTAACTGATTAATTATGTCATGGTTTTTATAAAAGTCCCGGTTGAATGAACAACCGTTGGCGTGCCAATCTGTTTGACACTTATATCCAGTTATTCAAAGGAAGTGTACAATACAAAATGTGTAATATTATGTAATACAGGGGTAATAAAGTTTTATCTATAACACCCTGCTGTTTCAATTTAAATTACTGATGAAAAAGTCGTCTAATTATACCTTAAACAAACGACATGTATGTGCCCTTTTTGACCATTGAATTATTACTCCCGCACATTTTCGTAGATCTGTTAAGAAATAAATTCACGTTTTCAGTATTTACCGCCTTTAGTCATCCCAAAATTAATGTTTTTTCGGTGACATAACATGAAATCGCATCTATTAAAGCCTTAAAGTATGATCGACTGTAGACATCGTTATTGCGTATTGCCCTACGCAGAATACGCATGCGCGAAATGCAACATTCGTTGCTATGGAAAATCGTATTGTAAAAAGGTCTATAAGCCGAATGCCAAAAGCATTCACGACATTTTGGTTTTAAAATGAATTAAATATGATTTTTATTATCACCTTTTTCCATTATGCTCTAGAAAAGTAATGTAGAGCATCTATTTGCAATCATCACGTTTAACGTACATATGGGACATCGACTTAAACTGAAAACATGACTTCTATGCTGGACACGTCTAGCACATATGTGTCAGGCTATTTTTATGGGACCCAGGCAACATTTTCATTTTTTGTTTTGAAGTTTTCATTCATTTTTCTGTAAATGTCCTCAAAATGAATACACTAGGCAGTTACAGAAACAAGTATTTTCTGATTATAAAAAAAATAAAATGGTTGTTTCCTAACTTGATCCATGTGGGCCAGGTAAGATCGTTAGGAATTCACAATAGTTGACTCCGTGAATCTGTAAACGTTAAAGAACATTCACATGAATGACTTTTAACTTGTTTCAATCATACAATATCCACACAATATCTGTTATTTAATTTCCAGGGTTTGTTCAAGTCACATGGTTTGTTTTTGTTTTTTTTAAAAGAAAGACTTTGTGATTCTGTCGGCGTCTTAATTTCGTTCAACACATATATAGATATATTTACGCTTCAAACCCAAAATATATATAATTTATACGGAATTTCATGCTGGAACTTTAAAAAAATGCCATTTCAGCTTAATTTGAGTACATAAGATCATTTCAACATTTTTGTCAATAATTTTTAAACGGAAAAAGAGATGTACAGAGTGACGGACGGACGGTGCAAAAACTATAGTTGCCATAAGGGGGCATAAACAGTCCTGTCATGGTCAAAAGACACCTTGGTGGAACCCCTTTAACTGATATAAAGTAAGACGAACTTGTGAATTGTTTGTATATTGTTTAATTAAAAATGTTTTAAATTGACTTTTACGATATGAGCTAAAAATGTTGTATAGATCATTTAGACATTTTATTCCAATCAATTCAGGCTTATAAACCCATGATGAAAATGAAAACAAAAAACAAGATACAGAACATTGCAAATATTAGTATATATCATAATAATTAAATATAGCATGACAATACACGAGATTATCGTAATGGCAAACTTTTCATTAAAGTGTAAAAACAGAACATTATTTCATGTTATCTTATTTATACGACATAAATTTTCTACCTTAACCTCACATTTAAGTAACTCCCCTTAACATGATATGAACATTTATTTTCCTTGCTACAATAATTTGTATTCATGAATATTTCTATAAACATTTTGAGCCGTATATCGGAAACATGTTTGATTTTTTAGATAATATTAAATAATTAATAATTGCATGTGCAGCCACTTTCTCATATTCTATCTTTTAAATTATTCATCATGTATACAATATTTCAGTATCATTTAATAACATGGTAAAATATATCTCATACAATCATAATAAAACAATAAAACGAGATATCAAGTTACATCAGTTACATCGTACTACCGATAACAAAATTAAGAAAAATAGATCTCTTATTTTTATTGTGATGGTATAGATGCTTGAAACTTCATATCATTGTTCAGAATTAAAAAAACAATAATATATATAGATAACAAAAAAATGAATATATTTACAATGAATATTTTTATGAACATACAGAATAAGTATCAAGACAAGTATCAAGACATACATGTATATATATTCAGAAAACGACCCTTTAATGACCAGGTAAAATCATACAAGTTTCGTTCCTAATAGAAGAGCGTAGTTTGTTCCACAAGACACAGTAGTAATATGCAAATGATTTTGCATCACAATCTTTGGCACTTTGTTAGATATAGTATCTAATTTACTTGGCCTAGTCATATATGAATGGATAGTCTACAGGAAATCAGTTTTTACTCATATATTAAGGAGTAAAACCGTTCTTATAGATAAGATATTACATAATGTAATTTGTGCCACTCTGTTTGTACCAGCAACCGATTTAAATCCGTAAAATATATATTATCAATATAATTATGATCTATGATCAAGATTTAAGTACGAGCCTTCTTAATGTATTCTGTGTGACATTCTTTGAATTAATACATATGGTGTGTTCTTTTATATCTACGTTTATACATGTATGTGTTTCGTAAGTTTGTTGACAAAATACATCCTACAACAAAATGACATTAATATTCAGAAGAAGAATTATGTATTAATTTAATCTTTGCGTAACTAATGCGAAAAATAACTTATCGGCACCCTCATTTTCATCAAGACATAGAATGTTCTTTGTCGACAAAATTAAGTGAACACTGCAAGGCTGTAAACAGAAAAAGCATCAATGTGCAAGGCTCTAAACAGAAAGAGCACCAATTACGCTTTTCTCTGTTGTTAGATATCATCTTAACAGAAGTGTAAATAATGAAAACATACTTCTTAGGTCTTTAACATAATATCTTAAAACAAATATATTCATTTTTTATAGAAATTCATAGTGTTATAAGTAACGTTATTTTCTGTTGACTTTAAAAAAAATGATCATTTATCAACATAGAAATGGAATAACATTCAAACATGCATTATTATATGTGTTAATAAATTGTTAATTTGTGTTCTTTCTTCACCACAATTAAACCAAAATTTTCGTTATTTTTTTTTAGAATTCAAACAAAGCTTTTAACTACTTTCGCTCATACCAACATAAATTACCTCAGGACATAGTTAGGATTTTAAAAGTTTTCATTTTGCTTTCAAATTTATTTTAGATTCTTTGATATTATAACAGGGCAATCTATTTAACTTTTGAAGAGGATTTAACTATGAAAACGATATGAAAAAGGGCATACTTGGATATAATAAATTCAATTGCACGAAGTGTTAAGCTAGTAGTGTACCATTATACCATATGATTTTCAACTACAAGTCACACGACACGGAAAAACTACAAATGTTGATAAATCCATAATAGACATGTAAATTGTCAAATTAATCTAAAATAACAGCGTTACAATGTTCAGAGTTACCTTTACCAGGAATATTTTCTTGAAGGGTGTGGTGTTTTTCATTGGCAAAAGCCACTAAGAGCAAATTAAAGACCAGTTTTCTCAGATAATATATTTGTTCTTTAAGTATAAAGCCTTATTTTAAAAAACAACCTGCTACTGTTTTTTGTTTGTTTGTTTTGTTTTTTTTTTTTTTTTTTTTTTTTGGTATTTCCCATCAACCTTGAAAGTCAATCGCAGCTGTGTCTTTCGGAAATGTTCTTTCTAGAGAGTTTTAATTTTCTAAATTGGCCTAGTGTCACGGTTAAAAACTATTTTTTATGGAAGAAGATATTTAAGCGGACATAAAGCTCAGTCGTTTGACTCGCGGAACGTATTCCGAGGGTCAAAGGTACGGGTCAACCTGGTCAACCCTCGCATTTTGTTCATCCTGTGACATTTGGTGTCCAGAGGGAAACAGTGTCTGCATAAAGCACAGAGTTTAATTACCATTGCTCTGTAACCCTAAGAAATTCGAGAACGGATTCAATATAGCGAGAGTATGCTACAGCTCAGAACTGTTTAGTTTCTAGGAATGAACACAGTCATCTTAGAAGCTGTCGGAGAATGGCTTAGTCGGAAAAACCGCGGAACAGTATTTCGAGTGTCCCGGGATTGATTCCCGGTCAAGCTGCACATTTTTCTCACCCTGTGACACTAGTTTATTAAATGTATCTGAATCTAAATCTGAATCTGAATCTGAGCCTCTTAGATATAACAATCCATCTGTTTCACCAAGTTTAATGTTTTTTACGTTTTTATCCTCTGTTGTAACCAGAACAACATAGTCGGTCATGTGATTTCTTTTTGGCAATTGAACGTTTCTTTGAGCTGTTGAAAGCTGTCTGTTTTTCATATCTAATTCATCATATTCATAGGGTATCCATTTGTCGAGTTCTTCTAGAATGATCAAACATTTGTCTGCCTCTCGGAACAGAACTTGTTCAAAAATCTCAGCGTCATTGCTTCGTGTAAAGATATAGCTTTTGATCATATCGTGTATATGTGTTTCTTTTATATATCTCAGTGGCAGCCTAAAAACATATTCGAACTCATTGACCGGCCAATGTGCATGTCGAGTACAATTTTCTTCAAGGAACACGCACAACTTTTCGCAGCTTGATTTTGAACCTGAAACAACTATATTTTTGCTCAATGAACCTCTTTGATAAAAAATATCTTTTTCGGAGCGAATCCTTTCACCATCATGGGAATACAGATACAAACGATCCAAAGGATTTAAACTTGCGCCCATCAATCTGTGGTATCCAAAATGCATTCCTCTTTTGAAATCTGAAAAAAAATCATATGTCGATCTAATTAATGCTGTTTTATTTTCTTACTTTTACAAACTCAAATTCTAATTTATCGTGAGGTTGTTCCGATATAAATACAAGAAAAAACATCTTCAATATAAAGTTCATATAACACCTTTTCGAAACATTGCAGTAAATTTTTTGTTAATGGATTGTCACCATACATGGAATGACAAGTCTGTAATGTAGAACACCTTGGCATTGACTCATTAATGATGTTGATCTGCAAGGTCAATTTTTAAAATTTTGCTTGATTTTTGCTGTAATAATTTTCTTTGTCATCATATCTGAACGCATACACATTTTGACAAGACCTTCAAAGTCAAGCTCTTGCATTTTGCTTAAATATTTTTATAACTAGCTATTATAGCAGAACGTCCTTATTCTAAAATACGATTATCTAAAGCAAGATCAAACTTAATCTGAGAACGACACTGACCTTAAAGTCAAATGGTTAAAAATTTCCCTGTCTTATTTGCACAAGACATTTAAGATTTTTTTACTACGCCTTAACCTTCTGTTGACTATGTCATTAGAAGGTCAAGTCAGTGAATCATTGCTGACAAAACCAACATGCTGAATAGTCCAATTATGACCTTGATCTGATTGTCTAAAGTCAATTCATTCAATGTTGATAAAGTCGGTCATACCTTTGTTATTCATATATAGATTTTATTTATTCTTTGACAAAAGAACACATATGACAGAACCCGCATGTTGAATTATTCTGATATGACCCTTAACGAATTAGATCAAAATTATTGAATTTCATATTACGGATTTGATTCATGCATTCATACAAGAGAGCACTTATGTATTGAATAATTCAAGTATGACACAATCTGTAAATGATATTAATTGTGAAGGTCAAATATGAACATTTTATTAAAATTAATGTTTTGCTCCAAACTGATTTTTAAAACACTCGTCTGACCTGTATATCTATTGCATCAGAAACATGTTTGTTAAACACAAATGCCCAAATTATTGTCAGAAGCAATTGTTCAATAACTGCTTACCCATTTACTCAGCTATGGACAGTAAAATTGCAAGAAAATGAAAACACGGTAATATAACTTGACAGCCATGACGTTTCGTAATTTAGAAAAAAAAATATGTTTGCATGTCATTGCTATGTGATGATGAAGGAAAATATTCTGCCAATACAAATTTATCAAATATATATAAATGAAAGGCATTGACGTTTGACTCAGTGATCCAAAACTCCACCCAAACTTAATGGACCACCTGAGATATGTTCCTCTCCATATGAGACTTGAGAACAAATTACCAAGGCTTAATTGGGAAAAGTGTAAAAATTATATTGTTAGTACAATTGACCTTGAGCTTCTGGACTATCTAAAGTATATTACTTCCAAATATGAAAAAATCAGTTTATAAATCAATTTATAAGGAAATTTATATTAATCTATTTTGGCACCCCTAACACATTGACCAAACTAATTCCATCCGAAAGGAGAAGGCCATGCAACTTATCTTTTTTCTAAATATGAATGACATCTGTCTGTTACTAAAGGCTATATGGGCAAAAGTGTAAAAAACAATTTTAAGCACTGGTGTCCTTAACCCAACTGACCCCTTAATCAATCCAAAGGAAGAACACCATGAATGTTTTCATCCTAGCAAAACTATGTTTGTGATAACGAGTAACTTCATACTAAAAGTGTACCTTGACCTTGGGGGTAGGGGCATGGGTCTTGGATGCAACACGTTGTCTTTATGTCAAAGATATATATGCAAGGTTATTTAAGAATCCTTTCATGCATAGCAAAATTACAGTCCGGACAATTAACTCTAATTGAAAGAATGTAAGCTTTCAAACTCTAAATGAGACCTTGACCTTGAAGGTAGGAATATGGGTCTTGGACAAGAAGCAAAATAATGAAGTGGTAGACATTTGTGACAAGTTTGAGTAAATTATATTAGAAAACGTCAGACATCAATGGCTCTAGTTTAAATATTTAATGATTCATGAGAACAAGTTTATTTCTGTTTATTACCTCGTTTCTTGATCTGATATTCCATATCGCGAAAAGCGACCTTTGACAGAAACATTTTCTTGATATTCAGAAATCTCTGTGGATAAATCAACAAATTGTATAACAAAATTGCATATTATGATAAATGATGTAATTGTGCATTACATAATCCCTAAACTCATTATCCGGCCGGTTCCTGAAAGAGTTGCTATCTAGAATGTATCTGCTGTTTAATGCACATGGATAATGTTCGTTAACAGAATTAGGTTCCCGGAACAAAATATTATTTGCGAATTTATGTAAATAATTAATCGGTTGGAAAATACTTTTTGCATACGCCATAGGGTCTTGAAGAAAAATACATACATTTTTCTTTTGTACTTAGGAACTATTCTTTTTCAAACGATAAACAAATAAATATGTAAACTTCAGACAATTTAAGCTCGTTAATTGAAAATGTTTTGGTACTTCATTCTGTAGAAATTTTTGTGACAACAGTTTTTAAAGCATGTTTCAAGATAAAATGGCATAGTAAGTGTTAGAAGTGTTGACTTGTCTGAAATTGGCACATTTCCGATAAGTATTTGAATTATTGATAAAACAATAATCATCATCATTTTCAATATTCTGATAGAATGTTTCTTGAAAAAACATATGTTGATAGAGTACAAAGATTTTATGAACATTGATATGATGAAAAATAATATTTTTGTTTTAGAATTATTTATTATCTGCTATATGAATATATGTAATACCTGACCATGTATCTCACCTCACTGTTGCCAACAAAATCAAAATATAATAATGGTGTGGTTTACTAATCATATGATAATGAAAACTATTAACATATTTTTATGGAAATTAAGACGTTCAGTTTCGGGACATTTGTTCAAAAAAAGATTTGTCAAAACTAAATGACAAAAATATCGATATAAAACAACTCATGAAAATCTAAAATAAAAGATTCTATATGAATTACCTCTATGACTGAATCAAGATCTTGGCGCTGAAATGAAGTTGCCGCCGACGTTCCGCTTGCTTGAATTAGACATTCAATTTTATCCTGAAGGATGAGTAATTTACTTTCTGTTATATTGGTTTTGTTTTCTGCCATTATTCTACAAGATGTTTCTGCTTCAATTAGTACTCGCTCAAATTCATCTTTAGGTAATAAGATCTGATCATCTCTTTCAAAACTTATATCTTTGTCATGTGTACATGTCTTTTTCATTGTATCTTCATATTGTTTCTCTCTAACATCAACCTCTATAGACTTGCGAGGAAACCACTCCATTTCACCTTCATACCCTGCGAAAAATGCCTGTCGCTTTTTTAAAGATTCCTTTAATTTTTCCGATTCGTTTTGGAAACCTCGACGAGGGTACGTTTGCTCTTCGTCATATCTCCTTTCCAACTGAAAATAAAAAAAACAGATTGTTCAGACTATTTAAGCTTAAACACTAATATTTTTTCAATCGTTTTGCTTTGACTCAAACTACTTAGTAATGGAACAATATGCATGTGTGATATACTAACTTCCTGAAGATCCTGTACAGCTTTATGTGTGTTTGGCATCTGGTTAATGATACTTGACAAAATTGTAATCATATTGTGCACTACATCTTGGAACATGTCATCGTCAGCTGTGTGGACTTCGGTTTTTAGGTAGGACCTTATCTGGAAAAAAAATAGTCTAAAGTGATATGTTAATGAAATACATAAACCTTGACCTTAAGACAGGAGCATTACGCTTTGTGATGGTAAACACTTAGTTCCAGTAAAACTTAAAAGTCGCAATAATTAAGAAGCCTGTTTAACATGTGTAATACATCTTTAACTAATTCAGCTTAATAGTTGTGAGGAAAGATGTGCGGTAATTAAACACCCTAGAAATCGGACGATGGAATACATGCAAGTCGGTACTCGGGCAAATCATTCCGTTTGCGGGTTGGGGAAGGGTGGACATATTACTTAATAAGAATATGCACATAAGAAGCTTATAGGTATTGCTTTGCTCCTATAAACGTAATTCTTTGATTTATTTATAAGTTTAGTACTTAGTATAACACAATTGAAATTTAAATAGAAATCAAGAAAGTCTTATTATAAATATATTTTAAATACTAAAAGATTTTGCGTTTTGATTATGTGTACAAGTCAAACAATCAATGATACAGTCCAAGCATCATTATCATATTAAAAAGTAATCAAGGTGTTCGTCAGAGGAGTTTATTCAAATAAATTGTTCATATTTGCATGTACTTTTTTCATTTACACTGAGACAAAATGTATGTGTCAATACCTTTGAGACCACATCAAACGGGGGGATTAATTTGGCAGTACATTTCCTTTTGAAATGCAAGATTGTTAACCATTATATCCAACAGGTCAACACACTGCAAGTCGCCGGTACGTCCACGTTTTCTTATTAAAGATTGGTTTGATATAAAGAATTTAGTTATCTCCCAATGATTCTGATGCCAATTTGTTTTATTTTTAGACGCCAACCATAGATCTAATGAAGTGCGATGTTGTTTGATAATTTCATCATACATGACGTCACAGAAATTCGAAGGGCAAGGTTTCCTGCCTAAAGGAGAAATACAGTTGCATTTCATTTGACCTAGTGGGCATCGACCATGTTGGCTTGAATGTACAGGTAATAATGTGTCTAGTCGGCATTTATTACACTCTCTTGTGTTTGATTTATTCAAAACCTTGAAACGAAGATGATAAAAATTTTCTTTTGAAAATTTTATGACGCAGCCTTGTAACCCTTTTTCCAAATAACGAGCAGCTTCGACACCTAAAGCGTTTACTAAAAACTTGCGTTTTCGTTTAAAATGTATTCTTTGTTGAAGCATGTCTAACTGTTCTCCAGCAAATGTGTTCCGTCCTGATAAAAGGAAGCACAATAACAATTAAAAACATGCAAGGAAATGTCTATCTAAATAAATTGCCGACCAGTTTCTATAAATCAGAAGCATAAAACAAACAGATAGTATCATAGCTTCAACTTCATATATAAACATATAAATATCCATTAGAATGACATGAATGAGTAAAATTTATATACTTTTAAAACCTTTGTTGACATTTATGTACTTATTTTTTATTCATTCGTTCATTTATTTATTTATTTCCTTTGTCTTTCCTTACTAATGTTGGTCGTTATTTTCATTATTACAATAAACAGGTCTGTCTAGTACCTCTATAAAATTCATACTGTCCGAAATCTTTAGTTTCTTTTCTTTCTGATCTTGTTTCCAGCAGTATCTTTGAAACAAACAAAAAAACTTTTCTGACAGACAAATAAATACTATTTACTTTTTCAGGAAATTCGCAATTCATATGAAACGTTAATTCAAAATAACTTATTTAAGTTCAAAGCATCGCCGTTCCTTAGCACATTACAAATTTGTTGATTATTAAAGCCAATAACATAGATAAAATATTTTTTAAACGTGACATTGATGATGATGATGATGATGATGATGATGCTGATGTTGATGATTTTTTTCCAATAAGATTATAAAGCAATCATTAAATGAAAGGTCTCGAAAACACAAGAAGGCCTACACTCTATACCTTTGGGATTTTATCCTTGTCCATTTTCATCTTTGTCAACTGGTTGGTATCGGGACATCTTGTCGGAGTTTTGTCATAGTAAGCTTGAAATATATATTTCCACATAACATATAGTTCATTTCTTTGCTAAAATCATTAAATGCACATGCTTCAAAAATATAGATATAAATATAACATATTGAATGTCTATGGCGACATTGCCGAGTGATAGCCATAATACAAACTTTTATTGAAATGCGTTTCTAAGGTAGCTAGGATTTTATCTTGAAATGAAAACAGTGATATGTCGATGGAGTCCATAAACCTTGACCTTAAGACAGTTTCATTTAGCGTTGTGATGGTAAACACAAAGTGTAGTTCCTGTAATACTTGAAAGTTGCATTAATTTAGATGCGTGTTTAACATGTGTAATACATGTCAAACAAATTCAGCTTACTAGTTGTGAGAATTTAAACACCCGAAAATCGGACTGAGAGAATACATGCAAGGCGGTACTCAATCCAATCATTCAGTTCGCGGGGAGGGGGAATGTGGACATAATAAAAAAAAATAACGCATATAGGTACCTCTATCAAGTTCATACTGTCCGAAATCTTTAGTTTCTTTTCCTTCTGGTCTTGTTTCCAGCAGTACCTTTAAAACAAAATTTAACTTTTCTGACAGACAAATAAACATTATTTACTTTTATCAGGAAATTCGCAATTCATATGGAACGTTAAGAGAAAATAACTAATTTAAGTTCAAAGCATCGCGGTTCCTTAGCATATTACAAATTTGTTGATTATTAAAGACAATTACATAGATAAAATATTCTTAAACTTGACATTGATGATGATGATGATGATGATGATGATGGTGATGATATTTCCCAATAAGATTATAAAGCAATCATTATTATGAAAGGTCTCGAATACACAAGTAGTCTACACTCTTTACCTTTGGTATCTTATCCTTATCCTTGTCCATCCTTGTCAACTGGTTGGTATCGGGTCGTCTTGTCGGCGTTTGGTCATAGTAAGCTTAAAATATATATTTCCACATATCATAGAGCACATTTCTTTGCAAAGATCATTAAATGCACACGCTACAAAAATACAAATAAAATATAAATGTAACAGATTGAATGGTTATGGCGGAATTGCGGAGTGAGCCAAAATACAAACTTTTATTGAAATTTATTATTTGTGCGTGCGTGTGTGTGTATGTGTAAGTGTGTGTGTTCCCTTTATTCTTTAAAAAAAGATAGGATCCTCTGTTTCAAAAACTATATCTTTGACATGTGTACCTGGTTTTTTTATGGTATCGTCATATTTTTTCTCTCTAACATCACCCTCTATAGACTTGCGAGGAAACCTCTCAATTTTTTCTTGATCATATGCGAAAGATGGCTGCCGCTTTTTTATGGATTCCTTTAATTTGTCCGATTGGTTTTGGAAACCTCGACGAGTAAATATATGTTCTTTGTCATATCTCCTTTCCAACTGAAAAAATCAGATTGTTTAGACTATTTAAGCTAAAACACTTAAAACACTAATATTTTGTCAGTCGTTTCCTTTAAACCATACTATTTTGGTAACGGGACAAAATGCATGTAAAATATACTTACTTGCTGAAGTTTATGTATAGCTATACGTGTGCTTGTCATTTGGTTAATGAAACTCGTCAAAATTGTAATCATATTGTGTAATACATCTTTGAACATGTCATCGTCAGTTGTGTAGACTTCGTTTCTTAGGTATGATCTTATCTGAAAAAGACAAGAGTGATATGTCGATGAAATACTAAAACCTTGAACTTAACACAGTTACATTTAGCATTATGCTGGTAAACACAAAGTGTAGTTCCAGTAATACTTGAAAGTCGCATAAATTTAGATGCTTGTTTAACATGTGAAATACTAATTCAGCTTAATACTAATTAAGGGGGACATGATACTTAATAAAATAAATAATGCACATAGGTAACTTATAGATATTTCTATGCTCCTATAAACTTAAATTCGTTGCTTTATTTATAAGTTTAGTACTTAGTATAACACAATTGAAATTTAGATAGAAACAAGAAAGTCCAATTATAAATATGTTTTAAACACTAGAAAGTTTTACTTTTAGATTATGTGTGCTATCAAACAATCAATTATACAGTCCAAGCATCATTATCTATTTAACAGTAATCAAGGTGTTCGTCGGAGTAGTTGGTCCCAGTACATTTTTCAGACAAAGTGACAATGACTTTTTGCTGCTTTACTTTCATTTTTTCATTTACATTTAGACAAAAACGTATGTGTCAATACCTTTGAGACCACGTCAAAAGGGGGATCAATTTGGCAGGATATTTTATTTTGAAATGCAAGATTGTTAACCATAATATTCAAAAAGTCAACACACTCCAAGTCTTTGATACGTCCACATTTTCTGATTATAGATCGGTCTGATATAAAGAATTTAGTAATCTCCCAATGATTCTGATGCCAATTTGTTTTATTTAAAGACGCCAACCATAGATCTAATGAAGTGCGATGTTGTTTGATAATTTCATCATACATGACGTCACAGAAATTAGAAGGGCAAGGTCTCTTGCCATCAGGATAAACACAGCTGCATTTCATTTGACCTAGTGGGCATCGACCATATTGGCTGGAGTGTACCGGTAATAATGTGTCTAGTCGGCATTTATTACACTCTCTTCTGTTTGCTCTACTCAAAACCTTGGAACGAAGTTGAATAAAGTTTTCTTTTGAAAATTTTATGATGCACCCTTTCAATCCTATTTTTAAGTATTGAACGGCTTCGTCGACTGAATCGCTATCTAAAAACTGGCTGGGAAAGCGTTTTGGTTTGAAATGTATTCTTCTTTCAAACTCGTCTAACTGTTCTCCAGCAAATGCGTTGCGTCCTGACAAAATGAAGCACAATAACGATAAAAAATATTCACTGAAATATCTATTTGAATAAATTGCCGACCGGTTTATATAAATCAGAAGCATAAAACAAATAGATATTATTATACCTACAACTTTGAATATATATGTAACTTTACACATATAAATAACCATTTAAAAAGGTAAAAGATTTAGACTTTTAAAATATTGAATAACATTTATTTATTTATTTATTTATTTATTTATTTGTTTCCTTTGTCATTCGTTTCCAATGTCGGTCGTTATATAAACAAGTCTGTGTAATACCTCTATCGAATTTATATTGTCCAACATCTTTATATTCTTTTCCCTTCGATCTTGTTTCCGGCAGTATCTTTGAAACAAAAATTTAACTTTTCTGACAGACTAAAAACATTATATACTTTTACATAAAACTCGAAGTTGATAAGGAACGAAATACAAAATAAATAATATAAGTTTAAAGCATTGACGTTCCCTAACAGATTATAAATATGTTAATTATTAAAGCCAATAACTAAATAAAATATTCTTAAACTTGACCGAATATCAAAATAGTTGTTGATGATGATGCTGATGATGATGATTTTTACCAATAAGATCTATAGCACTAATAATGAAAGATTTCCAAAACACAAGTAGGTCTACATTTTTTATAATTGATTAAGTGCAGACTCATACCTTTGGTATTTTATCTTTGTCCTTGTTCATCCTTGCCAACTGGTTGGTATCGGGTCGTCTTGTCGGCGTTATGTCATAGTCAGCTTAAAATATATATTTCCATAGAATACATTTCTTCGCTAAAATCATTAAATGTACACGCTAGAAAAATACATATTTTAATATAAAAGATAGAATTATGTTGCGGCATTGCCGTGTGATAGCCATAATACAAACTTTATTTGTGTGTGTGTGTGTGTGCGTGTGCGAGTGCGTGTGTGTGCGTGTGTGGGGGGGGTTCTATTTATTCTTTCAAAAAAGACAAAATTAAGAACGGAAATTCACTAATGATTTAGGTTAAGAGAAACAAAAACAAAAGCACCGCATATATGAGGCAATATACGCCCAAATGCAAATTTGTTTTAATTAATTCAATTTTCATGTAATCAAAAATTATTGATTATATTTGTCGGGAATATGTTTCATTTCAATTATCAATATTAAGATCTACATTGATACATCACAAAGATCTATGCTCTTGTCGCATACTTAGATAAATATAGAGTACACAGTTTCACTGTCGAGTACAAACCGCAGTCATGTTACCAGTCATATCCTTAAAGAATTAATCTCTACTCTGCAAGTTGTAGGTCGGAAAAAGTTTTTTAAGACTTTATACTGTATAAATCTGTGTAGATGTAAATTGCTAGAGAACTACCTCCCTAAATTTTGATAAATTGCGTGTATGTGTGTAGGTGTGCGCGTATGCATGCGCGTGTGTAAATGTATGTGTGTTTGTGGTCTATGTTTAATGAGGGCCAATCCGTACGTTAGGGCATAAAATTTTAATTTTGAAGCGCACTTATTGGTCATTTACATCCATTCAGTTACCATGGTTATTAGCAAATAATATGAATTTTGAGCCAACTCGACAGTCAATGAGAACCTTAATGTACAGTAACTTGAGACAATTTTTGAGAGATTTTGATAAATTCCCTGAAAGAAATGACACTTTATATTATCATTCTCAAAATATTGACTTTGCATAATCTTCCCTTTATGTATGTTATATAAGAATTTGAATAAATCAGTGTCACATTGACCTAGACCTAAGGAAGTCCAAACCTGCGCTCTGCGCATCATCTGAGTGATATCAATACTTCTGTCTATTAGATTCAAATTCCTACAACAAGTTTAAAAGAAACAGAAGGACACACAATTTTGAAATTGATACCTAATACTAATTGTGACCTTGACCTTGACCTGTCGAAAGTCAAACCTACGATCTGCACATCGTTTCATTATGGTTAAAAATCTTGTATGTTGTAATTGAGATTGTATACCAGACTTGCTTGAAATTATATCACTGTATATAATCATGCTTATAAAACAATTTTCATACCTTGAAGAATATGTAAAATATGTGCTGCAAATAAGTAATTATTGAAATAGATGCATCCATTTCATATTGTCTTAATGGGAAATTAATGGAAAATTTGAATTAGACTTTATAGAAAATAAATGTTATATTACCTCCCTTTATTATTTGTTAACTTCAGTAATATCTTTATAAATAATGCTTTTTGGAACTTACAAAATTGATAACTCTTAATTTGAGCATCATATTTATGATATAAAACCATATGATTTGTGTTACAGGATCTTTAACATTTCTGCCAAAGGGTTTCAATTTCCTTCCACTGGATCAAAAGATACAGACCTGACACGGAACTTGTTAACAGACGGACAAGCGGAGACAGACGGACTGAAAACAGGTGCATAACGTTATATTCCGAAACTTTTTCGGGCGTATAAAAAAAATGTTCGTTACTTATTTTAAAAAGGGAAATCAATTTCATGAAAAGCAGAAAAAATAACAATGCATTGCTATCTTTTTGTTTTCTAAATGATTAACCTTTTTAGCAAGAAATCAGAATCAATAAAAAAAAACACGAAAATAATGAGGTTAGTGACCAAAACTGTTTTTCGCTTCTCTTTTTTATTATATTAGAATGCCGAGTTTATAGAAATCATTTAATTGTACATGAGTTACGTATCAGTAACATATATTTTTTCCATGACATATGGCGCTTTATCAATGAAATATATATCATTTTTTTTAAATAAATATGAAATATGAATATAAAAGTTGATGGCATCAAAATTCATATTTCTATAGTGCACTATTTTTTAGATGTTTTTTCTCCGACTCCCAGAAGGCTGTCAAAAGCAATTTTATTGGGGTTTTTTAATGTAAGAATTAAATTATTATAATATGTTGTTTTCTTGATTTTTTAATGCCATTCAATGACATATAAAATTTAAATAAATTCTTGAGTATTCCGAAACTATGATATAGGCTTTAAGGACATTTTAAACAGATTCATGCAATATGTTTAATGTAACAATCAGTACAACATGCATGGATGTATAATTATGTATACATGTATACAGAAAACCTTTGATAAATCGGTCTCAATCCAAATAGAGAAACCGGTCCTCGGAAGATCTTAAATGAACTTATTCGAACTGTTTTTTTTTTTTCTTCAATACAACTTAATGTACGGCAAATAAATAATGGCTGGGACAAAACATTGGATATTTTATACAATTTTGAGCATTTCTTTTAAAATAATATAAGTGATAATATTTTCCTTTCTAGTGATTTGCTTTAGGTCATATATTTTTATAATCAATATGTATCTTTTCCTTCTTGCGAACGTCATATCCATAAATATTATAGTATATTTACCTAATAATCCAAATTAATTGCCTAAAAGGTCTTAATATACATTCAGTATTTATTGCGTTAATCGAGAAGAAAAAGTATGGAGACAAACACGGTAAAATTAGTATTAAATCGCACATAACATATAATTATACCTCGGATAGTTTTATATATTTTTCCAAAATTTAATTTTCTTGAAATATTATAGCTCATCTGGAGGCATGCAGCTTTAAAGCATAAGAATATGGGCTCGTGTTGGTCGAAAATTCATTTTTATTGATTCACCCTTATTTTAACAAATAATCAGTGTGACATACCTAATTTGCTTTTTGTCTTGTCCTCAACAATTGTCACATTCTGAGTACGATCCTGAAGTAGAATTGAATTATGTATGCTATTAAGTACCAAATTACATTATAGAAATATTTAATTGCAGGTTACAATGTATCTACTGTATGTTCAAATTCAGAGCAGCAGATAAGACCAGATTATTTGGGATGCTTACTTTAACCCAGCTTTTTCTATTGCAATATATAATTTCAAAAACTGTTCAAAATAAAATACTTTACCCGCTTTCTTCAAGTGTATAAAATACGTGAAAATAATGAATTTAGATAATAAATAGAGGATATTTGTTTGTTTGTGTGTAAGATGAAATTTTATTTCATCGAGTGGGCTTTAAAAACAGTATTCTCACGAGTGGCGTAGCCACGAGTGAGAATACTGTTTTTAAAGTTCACGAGATGAAATAAAATTACATCTTACACAACAAACAGACAAATTTTCTTTTTTATTTATGCTTAAAAACAAGTTAAAACGAAATTTCCATAATTTTAACGTTAATATTAAAATCTGTTTCCCCCATTGAGAGCCCCATTTTAGACGGAATTTCTCATTTAAAACAAGAAGTCTTGAGCTGAAAAAAAAAGTCCGCCAAATCAAGGTTAAATGACGGTGATATCTATTCATTTTATAAAAAAAATATGAATGATCGCTTGTTTTAAATAATAAAAAAAACAAATCTTGTAGGAGAAAAAGTCCAACCATCCATCCATATTTCTGTTACTACTTACTGCGAATTTATATTAGACCTGGCTTTGTAAAAATGTAAGCGGCAGCCATTTTTTAAAGTTGTGTATTTCATGGGAGGAAAATAATTGTGTAAGATTCAGAAGGATATGTTTTTGGATTTGTTAGTCATACACCTTTTTAAAAGAAAGAAAACTTATTTGAGGATTGTAACAGACAAAAAAATAACTGTTGACAGAAGTGAAAACATTCAGAAAAGGAGCTAGGAAATTGGAAAACTTGGAAGCTTGCAAAGGAACGCTGGGTATTTTTACTTATTTTACGAGTGATGGCTGTCAATGCTTTTCAATTTTTCATAAGCATACGGCAGTTATTGCTCGTAGGATACTTTTAATATGCCCAAATGTCATCAAGAGCAGTTTTGCATGGGGAAGGAATGTATTTTTCAGACTTTAAAAACGAAACAAACAAAAAATTTAGAGACGAAATTTTGTGATTGGAATTTGAAGGAATAGAAGTAAGTTTTCTCTCTTTACTACTTTTGACATTTAAGTTATTTATCTATTTCAGCTTTGCTATTTCTTTAAATAGCCTGACATTGTCAGAATTGTCAGTAAAATAAAATTGAGGTACTACATGGGGAAAATCTTAAACAAGTAGTTTCGTCATTGAAAAAAGTGAAATTATATTTTGATAATTTTCACTGTGAAATTATCAAATATAATTTTCACGGATAAATCAGTAATCCACTGAAAAGCATAAAATAAAGTTACCAATCCACTTCTAATGGCTGGAAACGGGTCTGTAATTTTGTTAATGTCCCAAGCTGACTCTTCATTTTCCGTTTCATATATCTCATACGATTGTTGCACTCCGGAAACCTCGTTCCTTTCGCTATTTGTGCGCCTTTGAACAAGTTCCATGTCCGTTTTATCCAGAAGAGCAAAAGTAAATGTGTTGTCAATTATGAATTTGGCCTGTTCCTCCTGATTCCCGTTTTCATTTTTATAACCTAATTGTGAAATATATCATTTAAATATGTTAATAGCATTAGCTGTACATCAACATTCAGTTTTAAATATTATCTTATATTGATTTGAGGGTGTATTATTACTTATTTCAAATTGTTTAATTATAGTGAGAATAGTGGCAAAAAATGATTGTAAAATATTCATAGTGCTGACATTGATAAAGAAAATTATATATCGCAAGCCGAATGTGAAAATTGTAAAATAGCTAGTGCATTGGAAGCAATCTAAATACGTGTTATAAATTGTCAACATAGTGTTATGCACTCTTGAATACTTCATCACATCTATAAGATACTTAAAGCAAGTATTCCCCTTAATTTTATTTCTCACAATTTTATAAGGGTATAGTTTGCTCAAAGGGGAAACTTTTCAGGCGAGATAGAGAGTAATGAGATATGGGTTTTAACATTTCAATAACATGCATAATGGTAAATAAATATTGAATCGGATGTTAAATATATATATTAATATCCTGATATTCAATGACAGCGACGACCCTATATATTCAATGCTAACCTCAAGGTATATTTTCTTAAATTAGTGTCTACTTTGTTTTTCGACGTAAGAGATTTTTAAAAAACGTATCAATAATAAATAGGGGTTTTCTTCAAGTTTACAAATATTTTGGCATTGAATTTGTTTGGCTTTCTGTCATTCGAATAAGGAAACCATATAAGTTTGGATTAAGATATATTTTACCTATTTCAGAAGGAACTATTTCTTCCGTCTCATCTCCGTGTCTACCAAGAGAGCTTGTTCCTTCTGAATCTTTTAAAAACGTATTGCAAAATTAAGGAATTAACAAATACCATTTACAATTTTAAAAAATTCCAAAACCGATTCGATAAACACATATAAGGACATTTTAAATTACAAAACATTATAACACTCTCAACAAAAACATGTTGAAGGTGTACCCTTAAGTTGAAGAAGGATAATGAAGCATGTTTTAAGCTAAAAATGGAGCTATTGATAAAAGATGTAAGAAAAGAAAGGGCGATTATTAAACCAGCTAATAGTATATATATATATCACGTGTGACTATCACGCGACACCGGGTCTGGAACTTAGAAGATCTGAAACGAACTAATGTCTGTTTACTTTCAAAAACAACTACGGCAATTAAAATAATGGCTTGGACTTTTAAAGAATATTTTCACACATAGGAACGCTTGAAAAGGCTGTTTTGAACACCCGTAAAAACGTTAATCGGTAATCATCACCGCTTCAAGGAAGGTGTGAAAAACATCTCCATATCAATAATATCGAGTTGAACTTTGTTTTATTTACAGTAAAATATTTTCGAATATTTTTTAAAACTTCGACTCATCGAAGAATCCGACTCATATATAAGTTTTTGATAAAGAATATATAGGAGAAAAATGGGAGATTCATTTTACTTTGACACATCTAGAAATTCGACTAAATGAAGTTCGACACATAGAAGTTCTACTGTAAAATATGCTATTAACTAACTTATGTGTATCTCGCAAGCTCTTTTACTGATTTTAGATATGTCTCTTTTCCATTCCCTTTTTGACATCTTATAAATACACTATTCACAACAGGATCAGACAAGTTTTATTAAGCATATGTTTTGCATTTAAAAATTACTTTAAAATCAATATAATTATGTTCATTTTAAATAGATTCAAATTAATTTAAAAACATTCAGAAAATATCAACATTTAGATAAAGGATGATAAAGATATTTTTCCGTTCTAGTGATATGTTTCACGTCATAATAATAGTAATATTTTTTAATATAATAATTATAAATCTTTTCTATATTTTGAACGTTATGAGCATAACTACCGTAGTATATATACTAAGTATGTATATCCAAATGTGAAAAAATGTTTGAAAATGCAGGAATTTTCAAGGAGATTCTCACATGCACTACGATTAACCAAAGCTGTTATCAAGTTTTTATGGATAATAGAAGGTTTTTTAAGATGTTGTGAAGGTTAAATCGGTAGAGGGTTAACAAGTAAACAGTTCGTCATACCTAATTTGCTTTCTCTTTTTTTTTCACCAACTGTCACATCCCGAATACGAGTCTGAAGTAAATTTGAATCACATATGAAATTCTTTAAACAGTCACACACCATCTTTTTTAAATACGCTTTTCAAAATAACATGTTTTCTCATTGAGTTTAATATGCAATATACGCACTAGCATGCTTTTTTAATGGCATCAAAATTCTTTATAGACAGAAATGTGTAACGATAAAGAAAAATAGGAAAGAGTGGAAGTAGGTAGTAAGTAGCATTCTCAATGCTTATCATGAACAAAATTGTAGTGTAAAAATATTCAACGACCGGTTAGAAAAAGTATTTATGTTGCTATTCATAGCAACACACATGTATAATACTTGAATCTTTAAGGAACAACATTCAAATTGAAATTATTTGGTGCGGTTACTTTAATTCAAACCTTCCATTCCAATATAGAATTTTGAAAAACCGCTCAAAACAAATGCATATTTGAAAATCATTATTTTTCAATTTGACACTAAACAAACCTGTCCAAGACTAATGGTCTTAAATATGTCTGTTACTGTTTTAATGCTCCTTTCTGCCTCTTCATTTTCCGTTGTATATTCTTTCATTTTTTCATCATACACCTCGTTATTTTCGTCACCTGCGTGTTCTCGTACAAGTTCAATGTCCGTTTCATCTGCATGCATAAGTGTGCATTTGTTGTCAATAATGAAATCCACCTGTTCCTTCATATTTTCATTGTCATTTTTATTACCTTAGTAAATATGAAATATTTCATAACAATTGGTACATGGCACTTGCTGGACAACGCCATTCATTTTAGAAGTGATTCATGGTTATAAACATATGTATCTAGAGTGAAATGGAATCGAGACTGAGAATAAAAATTGCAAGTTTTTCGGGGAAAGCTTTTTTGGTACATGGAATTTACACAATCTAAAAATAATTTGATGGTGAACTTTTATTAATATCAACTTGTTATATACTTGAATTTAGATATTTTTTACCCATTTCAGCAGGAACTATTTCTTCCGTCTCATCTTCGTTTCTCCCAAGAGAGCTTGATCCTTCTGAGTCTTTTAAAACATGTTGCAAAAATATATGGATTAAAAATATTCAATTTTAAATCAAAAACCGATAAACATATCAACAGACATATAAAAAAACGTCTAGTCATTAATATCAATTTCCTTAAAACATGCATGTTTAATGCGTATGCGAAGGTGAAATATAATAAATGTATGGTCATTTTTAGAAGAAAATTATCTTAGCTGCAAGTTAAGAAAAGAAAAACATGCTCATTACCAATTAATGAAATATTGCACAGTTTCTCGGATGTAAGTCATCTAAATGCAGTGCAAAATAAAAAGACATTGCCTTGATATTGTCATTTCGCCTTTAAATAAGCACACTTTTCAAATTCAAGACACAGGCCTCACAAAGGTGGTCCTCAAATTGTTTAGTTCCATTTTCATTTGTCATATAATGATAGTGTTTATATAAAGCATGCTATTATTTACATATAATGTCTTTGTGGTGATTTATTATACATAAATGTTATTGTATAAATAATTTGTATTCAGTTCACTATATACTTTTCTAGCTTACTGTTTGTAACTGTGTAAAATGTTTATACCTTTTAAAAAAATCAGGAAATTTTTATATTTTTTTTAATGCAAAGTTAAAATGAATTATGTTATGTAGACATTGTAAAATTTTATGCATTTTGAAATAAAACTTGAAATCTTGAATCTTAAAATGCAAAGTTTAAATAAATTATTATATGTAGTCGGCTTAGTGTCCATTCTCCTGTATGTTTAAATGTTATTCTAGCGTGCGACTTTAATGTAAAAAAAATAAATAATTTTAATTCAATCGCTTAAAACAAATTGTGTTTTTAATTTAAAGTACCTGTTTCTTCAAGCACATTTCGAAATTCCATCATTTCAGGAATCAGTTTAATTGATACAGTTTCATTGAACTCCGCTGACATCTGTTCTGCAATTCTATTCAGACTATTTGTCGTTTTTTCCATTTTTATCGCGGATAGTACCGAATTTATTCCGTCTACAGATGAACACTTCAATGGAATACTTATGTGTTCACTTGATGTTTCATTAGTTGAAGCTGTAAAAGTATTTATTATATACTTTTAAATTCTCATAAAAATGCACGCAAACCTTGAGGCGCAAATGCGCTTCAACGGATAGAAAAAAATCATAATATTTTAGTGACAAATAGAGTTCCATATTTGGAAGTACCGGATTATTTTCACGTTTCACATCTCAGATGTGTATTACGTAGCATAAGCATAACTTGCAGCGTGGGAAAAGTTTATCCCACTCGACCGTTAGTTTCGCGAGATATCAATTTTCCAACGCTGCTCGTAACAAAATACAAGGCCTCAGAAAGCTTCTACAACATAATTTTCTGTATCAAATTAACTAAATTTAAGTCAAACAGAATCATTTATCTTAATATTATAGTAACACGTAATATTTTTGGGGTTGTATTTAAAAATGTTCAACTGTTTGTTAATTTTAATGGTGAGCAGTTTCGTAGCAGACGTGATACAAATGTCATTTCACTTTAGATAAGATTTAAACTTTCGATGTTAAATAAGTGATAAAAGGTATTAAAAAGGGTAAACTCTTAGATCTTTTGTGCAAAATGAATTCAGTGTAAAGAGGGATAGAATATTTTTGAAGTTTAGTAACCATTTCATGTAGGTCTACGTCAATAACTTGTGAGCAAAATTTCAAATCATTTACTAACTCTGAGCTTCTTGAAAAAATATTTGATTTGGAATCAAATTACCTAAAATAGCAACGCGTTTCTAAGAATAGCATAAAGTTCGATTTTCAAATGCTAAGCAGAGGAGTTCCTTTATTAGTCTTAAACAAATACACGTACTTACATTTATTTAGCATTCTTGAAACACCCGACACACTTTCGAGTGTACATTTTCCCTGTATGAGGAAAGGATAGCCGTAAATGTAATGCAGCTCATTAGCTATGTTTTGAAATGTGTTTCTAAACTGATTGCCGTGCGTGATATCTAAAATGTGAAGTAAGCCACCAGGAGTGAAACATTTAAATGACCAAATGATGCACTTTCGTTTTACTTCAACCGGTGTCACATCTGGATGTGCGGCAATGATAGCTACTACTTTGTCTGTTTCACTTCTTATAGAACCTGATGGTTGGTCTGATTTTTGTATGGACGCTTGCAGGTTGATTTCGAGTAAATCTTCTGCCTCTTTCTTTATTTCTTCATTTTCACACAATGTCAGCAGCTTAAACTCCAAAACTGAAATGGAGCAGAAGAAAAACTAAACTGCGATGAAACATATGAATGTATGATGTAAAACACTTCTACTGAAATGGTAATTTGAATGAAATTTGCAGATATTGCTAAATTTTGATATAATGACTTATTTTATCATCTTTTATACTCACCAAATCCATTTTCAAACTTGAAGATCGTTCAGCACGACATTATTGTTGTGCTTGTGGTATTTTTAGTTTAAATTTTTCGGCATTTTCTAGTTGGGTGGTTCCAATATTCCTACTTGAATAATGTTGAATCACCCTTAGGATATGTTGCCTGCTTTTTAAATTTGTCTTTTGACGTCTTATCTGTGATACGCAGGCTTCATAACCTCTGATCCCCTTTCAAAAATCCATTTTATTTAGTTACGCCAATTGTTTTCTCGTTTAGGACACACGCTTTTTATTACTTGGGGACCATACGCCGCTTTTCATGGAATGGCACGGAAGTGTCACATTGAAGGTTCCATGATAACCGCCGTATGAACACATCTGCGGATGTTTCTAAATTCAAAATTTTACTCTTTCATGTTTAAATGTTGAGTTCTGCTTGGGCCGGTGCTGGGGGGCGTGGACGGTAGCTTGCACTTTCCAGTACCGTCCATGAACAGGCTCAATCAAACCGAGCCTGCAACATTTTCAATTTTGCCGTGTTGGGCTTTCTTTAGGGATTCTGTTTTTGTCTGTTTTTTGATATCTTTTTGGCTCAACTGGTTCAGCATATCTCCCAATTCTTTAATTGTTTCTACAAAAAATATTGTATATAATATTTTAATATTTATCAAACATTAATCGAATTTTTATCATAAAGAAACAAAACATTTAAACGCGTTACTGTTATTTTTTATATGGTTACCTAGCAATATAAGCATTCTTAGAAAAAAATAAATGTACCTTTGTAGACATCGTTCAAAGTTTTCACATCAACACCAGATTCCCTTAGATGTTTAAAATACTCATCTGCGTCGCATCCTCCTTCGTATTTTTTCTTATAATGCTCAATAAGATGTTCAACTTGTATTTTGTCAACTTCGGCAATGTTGATTGATAGATGGTTCAGACAATTGATAAGATCAATCCAATTGGTCAAAAAGTCGACTGTATCTAGAGACTGCAACGCAAGGGCAGCATAATTTACCCTCGCACTTTTTATGCGCTCGATATACATGATCTCCTTTGGACTTAAGTTGTTATCAAACGTGAGCAGCAAAATAGATGCCAGAAGATAAACATCCCACTTTTTATAATCTGAACAAGACTCTTGTGAGTAAAGGCATCTGGAATATTTCTCATCAATATTTCTGATCAGCGTTTCCTTCTTTCTTTCAAGAAAATCCGATAGGTCTTGGTCACCAAGCTTTGTCATCATTATCCCGCATAACACGATGCGCCCTCCATCGAACAAAAGTTTTATGTAACGTACAAATATTTCGGGTGTTATTTTGAAATATTCTTCAAATTCTAAAATAAAACGACAGAGAGATTTGATTAATATTTCAAAGAAAACGAAGACATTTAAAGTTATAAAGTACCTGCACAAAGAAATGGTAGATGGCAATATTTAATTCCACACCAAGAAAATAGCAATACAATTGACATAACAGAACAATTATAATACTAACCCTTTGATCTTCTACTCAATTCTTCAACCTTAAATAGAAAATACTTAAGAAATGAATTTCAATGCAAATAATCATCTTAAGTATAAATTTATAAAGAAAAAATATTGATGAAATGAAATGAGTATTATGATTTTCCGTATTTTCACTGTAAAAATATATTTTTCAGTGAATCAAATTATATGTATTTTCACCGGTGTCGTGCCAGACTTTATATACATACATGTATATTCAATTCAATTCAATATCTTTATTCCACGTGTAATTTAATCTGACAATATTGATCTTATATACAAATATGTAGAAATGTGTGGTGTTTGGTATTTGAGTAAAATTAAATTGACTGCTATATATTTATATGTTTTGTACTAAAAGATTTGAAATAGATAAAATGTTAATAGAAATAAACCGTTGTTTGAAAGACGACATTTACCTTTTCTTGTAGCTGATCAAAGTCTGTTTTGAAGTTAAGTAACTCATCCAGTAACCTCTTAACTTCAGCATTCTCTGTATCTACATTGAGTTGTTTGTATCCATTTATTCTTTGTTCAAATTGTTCACTAGATTGCGAGTCAACAAGTTCAACTACTCTCAACAAGATAGCTTTGATTTTTGCCCACGTCTTTTCATATTCTGCCTCTGACAATTTGGCATCTGCTCGATGACCTATAATCTTATTTCTGACATCTCTCAATCGAAGAAGATCAGCACCAAGACTTTCGTCTTTCGGGTGTTGTTGAGGAGTTTCCAAACCTCGCTGTGGTTGTGGTATATTCTCTTTACACAAGTTTAGTATAAGTCTTACCAAAAGAGAAATATCGAATCTCTCTAGATTTAAAACTTGACAGGAAACAAGATTATAGTCAGGTTGGTTAAGGACATGTCTTTGAAAAAGTTCCCTCAATTTATTTTGTTGCTCGACAGATGAGAGAAAGCCTGTGATGTCATCACTTTTTATCAAATATTTGAAAACTTTGAATAACACCAATCTTGTCAGGTCTGTGTACATAAGACTAGTTCTTATGTAATACGTTCTCTCTTTGGATATTTCACACATGATGAGTTAGAAATTATCAATTTGCATTGTAAGAAAATATAAGTGTCTGATGTACATTTTCCATCACCAAGAGTTCTGAAACAAAGTTTAAGACATAATTATCATATTACTGACAAATATGCCAAATTAAGAAATAAAGAGTATATCAGACTGAATATATTATGATTAAAGGGTCGATCTTATGTTAGTCGATACATCCTCCCGTTTGAAAATTCAAAGACTCGATGTCATTGTTGTTGTTCGTATCGAAATGTTTCGAGATTTGTTCTCAATATCACATAATGTCTTATAAAAACTTGTATGCAATATTGAAAGAAATATCAACAAAATTTTGTGTTGATCCACCAATGGTGTATAGACCCATAAAAAAAATCTGGAAACAAAGTGATTCCTCGGAAGCATTAATCACAACAAAATTTCAAGAGAATTGCAAATCGGTTTGAGTCTGTACATGAGGGATAATGAATACTTGCAACATCGCTTACGCTCCCCCTAGCACCGGCTTGAGCGGTACTCATTTCTCAACACTGTTTGAGTTGAGTTTGGTGAACTCACAATTGCAATGTGAGTAGTTAACACAATACTATTTTTTTGAAATTGGTAAAAAAAAACAAGAACACATTTGAACGAAATTGCAGAATAATGATTAATAATAATTTTCCTGACATGGTATTTATTTCTTTTAATTATATTGTCATATATTAAATCGACTGATATTTAACTTATCTGAGCATATCCAATTTTACGGACGAAAAAAAATAAATATGAAAAAGTATTTTAATTTGCGGTCCATGGTCATTAAAAATTATTTGTTTCTACAGAAGAATTTAAAGTACCCCTTTTCATCTATAAAAAATCATTACTTCAGTTCCTCATCATCAATTAATTTGTATGGTCTTGTATTTCTTATTATAGCCGTGCGGACCTTTAAGTAACCAGAAAAAGGACATTGACAGGTGTTCCTTACTATGACAATATACAAAAAAATGTGGCCTTTTCCCGGAATGTGTTCAAGAATTTGTCTGTTTATGGTCCAATCGCGAAGGTTGTAAACAAGCACCAGGAGCAGGAGGAAATTGAGCATACGGTGTGGCCAACGAAATTCCCTAGATCAAAATCAATAGCATTGGACATACTGCAACTATCAGACCGAATCAACAAACCAACCACAGACCGTGAATGTGCTGATTGATGTCCTAGTGTTAGCTTCAAAAGATCATGCTAAGCAATTATTTTATCACAAGGAGGGCACGCGCGATACTGAGTTGATCTTTCGTCTGATTTTGAGTTATAAATGTAAACATTTAGAAGTGACTTATTCCTGCCTGCCATAACGTACAAAAACGGTACAATTTTGTGAAAAACTAAAGGTTACAGTTGAAAACAAAATATGTCTGTATTACGATAAATATATATTTAGGCTGTTGTTGAATACAATTTTGGTAAAAAAAAACATTTTCTGTTGTTTTAAATGTGTGAACGTTTAATTATTTTGGTGATATTGGTATGTATTTACATGTTTACATTATATTATAGAAGCTGTTTTGTCTTAATTATATCTAATTGTTAATATTGTAAACAAGTAGTTGTCAAAAACAGTCAACTAGATAAATATTCCGTCATTATGTCTATATATGTATATTTTACAGGACCAGGAAGGCTGATTTTCGTGCTATATTTATTTTATGATGACCTTTAGTTTTGAATAGTTTATAAGCCAAGTAAACCCGCTCATTAGTATATAAGTATTAATCCTTAACTGTGTTAAAGAACTTTGAAACGACTGCGGTCACTCTGTTCTCGTCGACGTGTCTAATAGAACTGTAACGATTACCACTAATATATATAATTATGTATAACTGTAATTGAACAGTAATTGAAAAGTGGTAAATATGATTTGGGACATTTTAACTCAACAATAAAAGTCCATGTATATGTTTACATCAAACAAAATACACTTTATTTATTACATTTTGAAAAAATGGTCATCTTAAGCGTTACAAAATGAAAACAGCTGATGTAATTTGTCAAACTATACATATAAACTTCCTATTCTGTATCGAAGGAGAATACATGGATTTCACTTTCCAATGTGTTATCATATAAAAAGAATACAAATTATTTAACGTTTTCCACCAATTGATTGAGTTTTGATATTTATTCAATGAAGAATATGTATAACTTATCTTTATCATTCATTTAAAAGCTGTTTAAAATATAGATTTTACCAGTCAAAAATGTTTTAATTAGTTTCTTTAAAACGTTACTTATTCTTAAAATATATCAAGTAGCGACTTTGCGACAATAGACGACATACATATTTATGATCAGATAAGAAACAAAAGGTCAGATAACCTATACGTAAATATTTTAAAACTTATTTCAACTATTGATTTATAGTTTTTTCTTTCAATCCTTTGTCGTAATATATAAATGACATAAAATACAAGTAAACATTTGTGTTCATT